AGAGAGAGAGAGAGAGAGAGAGAGAGAGAGAGAGAGAGAGAGAGAGATGCACGATTCACCGCGCAATATTTAATCCGGAGTGCGAATTAAATCATCATCTCTCGCATGCGTTGAAGCGTGATATGGTAATTTTACATGTCAGCTCTAAGGTCGCGAATCGAGCGTTTCCGGATTAATTCATCGCGTCTTATCTGCGGATCTAAGAATCGTAGCGTTCGGAGAATTCTGAACAGATTCTGAGAATTAGAGATTCTGATCTCAATTTCACACACAGAACATTAAGTTAAGCGACACGGAGACATTGCGAGAAGTTTATTAATTAAGAATTTTCGATAGCTGATATCGAAAAAATAAAAGAGGAACTTTGAAGATCTCAAGTATTCGAAAGCTTCAAAGTCCAACTGTTCAAACAGTACGCGTTGTCTCTAGCATTCAAACATTCAATAATTTATTATCTCTCTGAAGCTTATCATAGTTTTAAAATTCAAGTCCTATGTTAGGCTTCAATGAATGAGAATTTTAACATCGGGGCATCAATAAAAATGTCAATTTTAAATTTAAAAATTAGGATTACTAATTTGATTTTATAGATATATTTAACATCTAAAATTAAAATATGATTTACATGGGAGAAAAGTTTAAACAATTCTAAACTAAATACGCGAATGGATATAATATTTTATATAATGACTCCTTTCTTTTATTTTTTCTTAATTTTAATAAAAAGAAAAATTGGTATATGTCTATTATCTTTTCTTTCAGTATAAACTTGAGATTTTTGCGGCACAGAGACTTACGAGAAACATGGAAGCATGACTCGGAATAAACATCAAACAATCTTCGTTTCGCTTCATTTCCATCAAGATTGATACGCGGACCCACCTTAACCGGATATATCTTGTTTATCTTTGTTAATGTATTCCCCTATACGCCTCTAAATTCTTCGACCCATTTTTCACAATAGCTTCTATCTTTGAATATTAAATACGTGTGAAACTCGACTAGATCAACAGCCATTGGACTACTTAAATGTCTATTATACAACAGTATATTTAGAATATATTAAATTTATTAATATTAATATCCGTTATTAAAGCACAAGTAATTGTAAGATATTTACTAACAAACGAAGCAATCAAGTTGAGAATTCAGATTGATCGCCGTACATACGAGATTCAGGAGTGCTTGTGACCGCAGACAAGTATCTAAGACGCTGGCGCTGTGAAGAGATGGAAAATCTCTTACAATTAGATTTAGAAGATGGACACTCGGAAACTCGAAAGTTTAAAGGGTCGGTCGGACTTGACAAAGCCTGTTCGGCAAAAGACCGGAAACGAATTGCGATACGAACGTATTGACCGCTGCGGCCGCGACGAGGCCGACGGGAGGACTGCCTCCGATGTATAAACAATGTAAACGTGCGCACCAGCGCACCTTCGCGATCGTGAGGTAGAGCGTTCAAGCCGCCGTTCGCCACGGCAGTTCGTGTGGCACTGCCGCGCGAGGTCGTCGAGCTTCGTTGCCTCCTAGGTAGGTAACCAACAACACCTAGACCTGTGCCTGGTGTCTCATGTTCAAACATGCGTCACGCGATCTCTTCGACCCATTTCAATTAGCGCGACCCGGTTAAGGACCCGGTTAGTACTTTGCCGCTCCTGTTTCAATTTAACTATATTTAGGTAGATGGGCTTTCGCAAAATGAACAAGTAATTAAGGACGTTGAGAGAAAATCGTAAAAATCGCATAAAGTCATATATATATATATATATATGTGTGTGTGTGTGTGTGTGTGTGTGTGTGTGCAATAATTAATTGGGCAAAAGGATATGTCACAGCGCGGAAAGAGCTTGGCTGGAAAGATTGACTGATTGATTAGAACAGATCTTTCTCTCTTTTATTTTCTTTATTAGTCAAACAAGTGTTTATCGTATCATGATACGAATTAAAAAACACATGGTTTATTTTAATCTTTTTTTTTTAATTTAAGACAGGTCGAAAGGGGGAATCAAAAAGAATTTTTTTTTTATTACTTTGTTCCACTTTGAAATTATATCAACTATATACAATCACCATGTTTTCAAGTTTCTAAGACAAGTTCTTAAAAGAAACGTTTCTTCAGCTAGAACGATTGAGACTTTTAGTCGCTCGTAAACAATGATTCTCTCAATTATTGTTATTTCACGCCGTGCAGTATTCTTACAATTAGAGACAGTACGGCTTCCGGTTTGTCAATATTACCTGCGGCAAAGTGTCGTTGACAATTAGGCTATTTCGGGGCTAATGCCGAAGGCTCCTTTTATGAAGGATCTCATGCTGGCGATGGTGCGTGTTGCGTGGCAGTCGATCTAAACTGAATCATATAAATGCCGGGTTAATGAAAAGATATCTATTAATTAATAATATTACAATTAGCAAATGTAAATACAAGGTAATATTATATTAAATTATCTACTGAAAATGACAATTTATAATAACAGAAAGAATCTCTCTTTTGTTTTATTAGTCTTCTTCTAACAGTCTAACTCAGCCATGTTGTACATATTTATATAATATATATTGTAACGTTCGCACAGTTCGTCTTGGGAAATAAAGAAGGAATTATATTAAGAAACTATATGTCCAACGTGAATATGATTGTGTATTGTGTATTCAGGAGCCCGCGTAGAATTGATTAAATTCAATAGAATTATTATGTTAAATTATTACATTTATCGTGCTCTTTACAGTGCTCTTATATATTTAATAAAGAGAAGAAGCGCGAAAGAAAAATCGCATCCCTCCTTCAGGTACGTTACTCGTAGTAAACACCCAACACGCTGCACTGAGCGTGAAAAGTACGACCCTCGAAAGAGAAGGCGGAGTATTTATCTCTTTCGCTATCCCACAGGAAACCGAGAGTCCTTTCCACGGACTGACTGGCCTTCTCGATTATCGTGACCGTGACGATAATCTTGTGTCTGGAAGGGAAGAAATTTTTTTTAATACATTTTTTTATACATTCGAGGAATTTCAGTAGCTGTAACTAAAGCAGCTAAACACTTATCGACATTTACAATCAAATATTAATGAATTTTTTATAATGTCCGGAATCTTATAAATATCAATCTCGCGGCGTGCATTTAGGATAACTAAATAAAATTATTATATTTAATATTAACAACACCGGTCTACAATAATAGCCAGCGAAACGAATATTAGTTGTTTTATTATAAGAGTCGGTCAGTAATAACTCTGTAATAGGGGCATGTTACAACTGTTCGGAACCGATTTAAAATATATTTCTCTTTGAAATATGTTGTTAAATACAAAAATCTAAGAGATATATATTTTTTAATACGTGCCAAATCGTATGTTTAGGGGATGAAAGACTCCTTTGAAAAAAATCGGTTTTTCTCTTTCAGGGCGAATATCGATTAACAAAAGATAGAAAAGAATTGTTAAAATAAAAGTTGAATGATTGGAAGAGTACTTGAAAACAGTGACATAACAATTTTTTCATTTTTTATTTTTTATTTTTCAAAATATATATTTTTATTTTTTACGACGTTAACCATATATGTATAATAAAGTTATGTTTCGAGAAATCATTTTCATACGGTATCCGTGCCCTCCGTGCCCGTCTATGCGCTCGACTATTCACGTTCTGCAATCACGCACCTATCAAAGTTAAGCTTTTTCACGCGTCGCCGTATTTCCGTTGCGATATCGCCGCATAATTTTGTGGCCTCCGCATCGTCGTACGTAATCTCGTCCAAACGATTGTTCATCACCGATCTCACAATCTTGTCCACCAGATCGGTCTTGAACGTATTCTGCGGTTCCATGCGATAAGTATTTTGATATTTCAGTACCTGCGACAAATCGCTGTATTTTCGACAACTTTAAGTTGTCCTTCTTTCTGTAATTTTAGTCTAATCTTCCCTTAATTTGATTATATACATATGTATATGTGTATTACTATTACATATGTATATTCTTTATACTATATTATAAATGTGTTTTACGTTATTAAATATATTTTACATTTTATACATTATATTATACAGGGTGATTCAAAAATATTTGTACAAACTTTGGGGGTGAGTCTTTACGCAAACAAGAAAAAAACGTCATATGCACATACGTCCGGATGTCCGGAAATGGTTGTGTGGTTTATGAGTTATAATCGAAAGATTACATTTCAGGCCTGCACCTAAATCCATTAGATTTTTATCTGTGGAGACACGTAAAAACCCTAGTTTATGCAACTAAAGTTGTAAAATAAAGAGATGCTTCGCCGACGCGTCGTAGATGCCTATACAAAATCACCTGTAACTTACATTACATGGGATCTTTGACAGAGTGCGACAGTCTAATATGATTCGACGTGTCCATGCTATGCGTGCATTAACCTTCAGGGTACGGACTATAAAAAAGTTACGTTCCGTGCGGACATGGGTTAGCCTAACCCGGCGATTTTGATTGACTGTATATCGGGCTGTAATTTATCAATTGAAACAAATTTTTTTTTCTTTGGATTGGAAATTTTCTCAAAAATACAATCGCGTTGATAGATTTATTACCTTATTTGTTTAAACAAAGATACATTTGAAAATGTAAACCATTCTCAAAAAATTTTCATAAAAATTCATTTTTTCTTTTAAATTGCATAACTTGATGAAAAAAAAAAGATATCGACATTTTTTAAGTCGCGTTTGAAAGCTAAAAAGTTGTTCTTTGAAATGGCTGAATTCGTTTTTTGATCCATTTCAAAAAGTATATTTTTTTTGAACTATGAAAATACCCGTTTTTTTGCGATAGCGATATAACGTTACTTGCTTGATTTATCGTAATAACGCAAAAAAAAATATCTTAAAGTAAAAATAGTTCTTTTGGATGTTATTGATTAGTATAATATAAATAAATAACAAAAATTGCATGCACGGATACGTTATGCTGGTATGCTACAGAGCATCATTTTGAGGTTAGAATGCACAAAAGTATATTAAAAATAGTAAATTATACATACCAGAATACTCTACTGCAGCAAATACTCGAAAAACACAAATTTTTTTGTTTGAAAAACACGGATTTTGTAACGTTCCGTACGGACTGGGTGTAGACTACCCGAGTTTAATTTTCAAATCGTATAACTTGAGCACCAAGCGTAGACTGACGCTGCCCTTTGGCGCTCACATAGTAGCTACCTCAAAAATTTTTCCCCCCCGGTACGGACCCCCCTCATTCACTTCCTTTGAAATGGCGCTACTTTCAAAATTCGCTCGGGTTACGCTAACCCAGTCCGTACCCTGAGGGTTAAAGCAGGTGGAGGACATTTTGAGCATTTGTTATAAACTATAAACTATAATAAGTGGATAAACACGTGAACTGAAGATATATAACACTGGTTATATGTTATTGTAGTTGTAGGTATTCTGATTTCTGTCAGTTTCGGACATATGACATTTGAATGTGTATATGACATTTTTTTTTGTTTATGTGTGGAGAACTTACTCCCAAAGTTTGTACAGGTATTTCTGAATCACTCTGTACATTGTGTATGTATATACATATGTGTGTGTATAGGTATATATATATTTTTCATTAATTATGTTTTTATGTTATATTTTTAAATCTTCCACGTATAGATTGTTGCCACGCCATTCGTGAGATTTTGAAAAACGAACTGTCAACTTATCAAATTAAGATCTTGGTATTCTTCATACATCAATGTGATTTCCGGTGATGCAACGAGACTCGACAGAATCACCATCACTTGGTTTTTATTACTGGTGTTTTTACCTCATTATCATCACAAGTTTTTTCACTCGCTTCGAGTTGGAGCGGCATGCCGGCATAATATTGATTTCTGATATTATGATGGATCGATCAAAATGGGCCTCTTACCAAAGGAGCCCAACTCCCCTAAAGATTCTCCCACTCTTTTGTATAACAACTAGTATAACAGCCAGTTGACTAATCCTTGCAAGGGTGCGCTACGTATCTAAGGTAAACGATAATCAGTTACTTGGAAACGCCGCGAAGATCGATCGACCGCGACGGAAGCAATGATAAATATATTTGGATAATAAATATATATAAATGTTACAAGAGAAATTGAGAGAGAGAAGAAAAGAGCTTAAACACAGGTTGAAAAGATTAAAATTAGATCAGATCTGTGAATTTTCTGTGGGAATGCAGGAAAGAAAATATATGGGGAACGCAAGAATATACAATAACTCACGAAATTACTCAGGCGCGTTACAAAAAGTTTAAAATCTTACTATTATTTAAAACCTTTGTTGAAAATTTGTTATCTTTGGAGAATATCACGTATGTTCTCTTGAGAATATAGAACCTATGAAAATTGTTTTTACATCACGACCAGTCTTTTTCCTTATTATACATTCAACACCTTTATAGAATTTCTAAAACATTTTACATATTACTCATGATTTCGAAAACACTTGAGTATATTTTATTACAGGGGTCAGGGATACAGTGTTATATATATGTATATTACACAGACATGTATACTTGTTAATCATCTTTATTCCATTGTACATTGTATTTAATATATTTAATATTTCCACCAGCAATGTTCTCGATCGCGGAAATCTCGGAAAACGCCGCGTCTTAATAACTTGACGCGTTCAACCACTCTTTCTTTCTGTTAACATCTCGAGTACGAACCGTAAGACACGCTCTTTGCGTGTATTGCGCCGGCGGTAATCAATTTTTAACTCGCGTAAAATAAAAGTATGCCATCAGCAATATAAGCATTGCCATCAGAGCCGGGGGATCATAAGCTTGCTTCGAAAAGGATTTGTGGACGCGATGTAGAAAGCTTCTCGGATTCTTTTAAAACCTTTGGAGTTTTACAGATACTTGATCCGAGGAACACACACATTCTGACAATGTTCCACTGTTTCGTAGGACGCAAACATGAAAATATGTTCTGAGGCGCGCACGCACGAGGCGGCGTACGTTCTGATTTTGAGTCGAGCCACTTTTTGATTTGTTTTCACAATAGTGCGGTGAAAATATAGTCTCTAAAATATACTGATATTACATACATATATCGATACGTCAATTCCATTTACAAATCCTAAGGTGACACGATGCGCGCGGTCATTATTTTCCAAATTTCAACGTGCAAGATCACAAGAGAAAGACAGTTTCGATAATCGAACAATTATGAAACTAAAATATCACTATAATAGTTTTAGAAGTAATACACATATGTACATATATTCATTATTTATAATTATATCATCTATAATTCTTAGAATCATTTTCCTCTTATCTATATAATTACATAAATACTTGTGTAATTACAAGTATCTATTAATAACATACTTGCAAGTAATTACAATAAGAGTATTTATTAATCAAAATCACGTCGTGATTAATCGAATTAAACTTGAATTAAATTACTTTAAAAGTAAATCAACTAAATTTTTGCACGAAATCAACTAGGAATGTTTACGCAGAACGGACAGTGATTAATGATTGTGCGTAAACAATTACATAAACTCTTATGTTTATAAAAAAAATATTGCAAAGTGAACGTAATTATTTAATATTCTTCTTTCGGTTCCAAAAGACTCGCATTCAATAATTTTACATTTCTGCAAAACTGATAACGAGCGTGTGTGTGTGTGTGTGTGTGTGTGTGTGTGTGTGTGAGGTAGGCGTCTAAAACTTTTTGCATTTTTATCATTGCATTGGCTCTTTGACGGAAGCTTTCGACAGTCTCGACTAGAGCAGTTCCGGGCGGATCGTCTTCGAAGACGTCGAATGCGTAAAAACGCGAACCGCGTTCAACGAAAGCAAAGCGACGAAAGAGCATCTCTAAGACA